TCTCTGGAGTTAGTTATTCAGACATCACTGGTATGATTAATAAAAACAGAAGTGGAATTGACAATGGCTAGATTAAAATGCCGAGCCCAACCATCAGAAGCTCGGAATTGGAGGAGATGTATTGACAGAAGTGTGCCAAGGGTTTGGGAACTGTTGCTTTTAATGCCATTATTTCAGTATCATACATGTACAGGCAATTTTATTTTATTTTATTTTATTTTATTTTATTTTATTTTATTTTATTTTATTTTATTTTATTTTATTTTATTTTATTTTATTTCATTTCATTTCATTTCATTTCATTTTTTTCTAAACTGTGAGCTGATTGTGGATGGGTCATTTTCTCTTTTCTTCTATTGTTTTTGGCTAGCCAACTGTATGTACTTCATTTATAGTGAGGCAGATTTTTCCTGATTTTTAAAGCAGGCACAGCCTGCAGAGAGCTTAAATTGATCTGTGAGACTTTCCAGACGTGACCCATCAGTGGACTTTGGAAATACAGCTTCCAGTCTCCTGGGAATTTGTATTTTTCATTTAGCTTTGGTCAAAATGAGACCAACTGCTTTATTTTTTTATTACATTCAGCTAATTTTGAATTTAATTAATCTGATCAGATTCTTTTAATATAGAACCTATTCTGTCAAAACATTTCTAATCAGCTTTAATGGAAATGACAAAATCTGTTTTTCTCAAAATTTATGGTTATCATCAACAACCTTCAGCTCTGTACAAGCTTTATAGTCCTGACAGACCCAAAATCCATGGGAGAAAACAGAGGAAACAGTAGAAACACAGGAGAGAAGTCAGTGAGATCAACCTGCAGGTCAGCTGAAGAGGCCCCAGATGAGCACAGGTCTCCCAGCCCCTGGTCTGGGGCCAGAGCTGTCTCTAATAAGCAGTGTAGACATCCCCTTTATTAATATCAACAATATTTACCTACTTAAAGCTGTGACCACAGTTAAAGAGTCACACTGAGGCTCCCTTGAAAATCCAGGTTGTTATTTTATAATTAGCATAGCATATAGACACACTGGACAAGGCAGTCTCAGCAACAGATTTAATTCAGCAGCTAAGCCTTGGCAGGCAGGGTACATCTTAAACACTCTAAAGCTGTTGATTTAGTTCCTGTTAGCTTTAGCATGGAAGAAGCTGACCACAAGTTTGTTTCACAGTATGGCTGAACCCCCAGGTTCTTCTCATTCTTGGAGATAAATACATTTGCTATTTTTAGTTTTCCTTTTTAATGTATTCTTTAATCAATGTGTAAGTAAACCATAAATAATGTATCCAGTCAGTACAACATAGGGATCATATGATAAAACTATTATATCTCTTAAGGTCTCTAACAAAAATAAGGAGGTACAAAATTTAAACAACCACAGAGCAATCAGGATACACAGTGACACAAAAATAATACCATTAAAATAAAATTAATTTGGACTGGATATGCCTGACATGAACATGCCATACTAGAAGACAAAAAACTCTGCTCTCCTCTTCCTTTTTTATCATTACAGTGGCTGGCTCACACTTTGGGAAAGACCCAAGACTATTTCACCTTTCTGTCTGTTAGAATTAGAGGAGAGGGTTTTGGCGGCAAATTAATATCCATCAGTGATTTTTGAAAAGTTTATTAAGAGATTAAATATTATGAAATGATGGGAGAGCAATTTTGAAGTAAAAATAACTCAGATTGGTTTGATAGCAAAGCAGTAAAGTATTTGTTTAAATGGTAAAGAAATAACTGTTGGTTTGAAACGTGGACTCAGTCTGTTTGCAACATTTATGTATTATATCACCTATTCATAAAATACTTATCAAAATATGCATGAAATGTTTTGGAAGAAGCTTCCTTTTTATTAATTTTATAGCTTGACTTCCATTGTTTGAAGATGAAATTGTGTTCTTTGAGGATAGCTTAGTTTAACTTTTATTTCCTTTCTAGACAAGAACTCAGCTTAACATTTGTTTTTATTTCCTTTCCATCCAATATTCATACACATAGAGAATGTTTCTCAATGCAAACATGGAGCACTGGCATTTACACCAGTGTGAGCTCAGGGGTGTTAAAGCAGCAAAGACAAAGCTGCCTAAGCACGTTCCAGGTGAGCAAACAGAATAATTTATTGTAATATACTTAATTATTTTCCTTAAATTACATGGTAGGCTAAAAAAGCTTCTTTATTCTTCTAATAGATTTGTTGATGATTGAACACTACTAAAAATGGCTAGGTTTAAATTTGGATTCTACTCAAATAAGTGAGATATTAAAAAACCCAGATAAGAAAGGCTGCAGCATTTTGTGTTTGATGAACTTGTCAGCTATGTAATAGGATGAGGCAGCATAAAAAAAGAAAAAAAAAAAAAGTTACAGAAAGTACATTTTCATGTTTAAAATAGTGGAAAAACAAGGACCAATATGTATGTCTTAAACACCTGCAACACCTAAACACCTACCACTGGCTGTTTTCTTTATTTGTTTGTGAACTATTTTGAAGTTCCCTTGTAAAACAATCTGTTCAGTTCTCATTTTACATTATGGCAGACTAGAATAAACTTGTGACCCATCTTGGTATGGGTATTGCTGATACAGATTTTCAATTTCTGGTTTTTATGCTCACTTAGAATTGTATTGACAAAGTAAAGGTTTCTGGCCAAGTATCGATTGGATTTGGAGGCATGAGAGATGACTATTAAAAACAGTGAAATTTTTTTTGTCAGAAGTGCCTCAAAAGCTTTAAAGTTAAATTTACATTCAAAGTAAACATGAACTGGAAGTATGAAATTAATCATCAAATAAATCAACTTTAGGTAATATATTAAACTTTATAAACTACTAATCAAAAGATCAAGGTGAAATCTTGGCCTCTTTTTTCCCCCAGTGACAAAGTTCACTGAGGTCTGTGGAGGATTTCTGTCTTACATGCAGATGAAACTAAAACTCCTCTCCAAAGCTCTGTTGGAAAGACAATTAAATGCACTAGACAGTGATCTAATAGCATATTTGACACGTAAGAACCTGCTTAAAGAAATGTTTATATTCCTGGATATGACGTAAGAAAACTAAGCTCCCTGCCTATGGAATTTGATTATAGAAGCCTGAAATATAGTTTAAGAAGCTGGAAGAGAAGCAATCTTTGTTTTTTGTTTATTAATGCTATTTCTATTTGTAGATTAAAATCAAGTGCTCTGTCTCTGAAGCCCAGAGCTGGGTCATGCTCTGCTAGACATTGCTGCGTGGAGATACCTGCAGTAGTTCTGGAAGTGGATATGATCAGGCTGGCTGGTGCTGATGCAATGCTGCCTCTAGCCTTCCTACCTAATCCAAGAAAAAATAGAGTATTTAACCCTGGATGTACACAGCTTCTGGCACCACAGCACTTGGTCTGCTTGGTGACAGAGGGATTTCCTGAAGAAAGTTCTATTTCTGTTGGTGAGCTTTCCATAGTAAGGGCTTCTAAGATGAGATTTAGTTATCTTTGTAAAGGTGACACAGAAACAGACAGAATAGTAAGGGCTTCTAAGATGAGATTTAGTTATCTTTGTAAAGGTGACACAGAAACAGACAGAAAGATTCCAGTATCGATGTGGAGTGCCCCTGCCCCAGGAAACGGGGATTCTACCTAGACAGACAGCATGGGGCAAGGGGTGAGACTTACAGAAGATTCTGCCCCTCCACCCTGCAGGGCTTGCCCCTGCAAGCCCGGGAAAAGACACTCTACCCCATTTTGTCAGATAATGAATGGCCCCAAAATGTTCTTTTCCCGTCCCCTCATTGGTTTAAATTGTACTGCAGTGTCCCCGCCTTTGTTATTCCCATTGGTTGTTCTCCTTGACCCACCCCTTTGCAGTCCCCTGCTTCTCTCGCTATTGGATCCCGACCCTAAACTCCACCCCCACCCTGGCCTATAAAGCCCATGACTCTACCCTCCTCCTTCTCTTGGTCTCTGGCTCAATAAAGGATCCTGGGTTTTGCTAAACCAAGACCCCTGCTGTTGTCATCCTTTCCTGTTGGTCGTCAGTGGCTGCCTGAGGTCTGAGACTCCAGGGCCCGGGGGAGTTGTGGTGCCCCTCACTGCGGTGGAACCTAACATATCTAGGCCTGCCCCTTCTCCTAAAAGCAGATTGTGGATTCCCAAGCTTTTACTAATCAAGGTGTTTACCAAGAGACTTCACAGCATTCCTGGCCAGTTTATTACTTACTGCAGATCATCTGAAAACAACTTCAAAGGTACAGAAGGTAAATTAAAGGTCTGCTAAGAAATCTCAGACAGGAGCCTTAGGGAAACCACAATCTGCTCTAACACTTTGCAAACGCCGTTTACATAATTCTTGAAATCCATATACATTGTGTGTGTGATGTATATATAATAAACCAGCAACATGCAAAGGAGCATTACCCGGGATTGCAGACCACTTAACCACCAGACCTAGCCTTGAGCTCTCTATTAGTTTCAGTTGACAAACACAAATCCCAGCCCTGGGGAACTACCTCCTGCACTTGAGTGCAACTTCCCAGAACAGACCCATCAACAGATGAGCAGGTGGGTAGTGCTTAGGGTTTCAAACAGTAGAAAGCTTTTCTAAGATTTTACTGGAATTGAAGGAAGAAAAACAGAATTTTAAACTTATTTGTGGGCAACACTCTGTGGGTAAAAGAGGGTTGGCAGAAAAAGCAGGAAGACTGATTTTATGGGAGTCAAGCAATACAGAGGGCTGATGGCATGGGCTGGAATGGAATCCCTCAGGGCTGGGATCAGAGCATACTCAGGTTGGCTCTTCTAAAAGCCAAGGTCCTTGTCCCCTGCAGCGTGCTCAGAATGCCCTTGAACTGCACGATACTGTGCTGCTGCACCTGCAGGACAGGGACCTTTGCAGCCTCAGCTCGTTCCTCTGTGTCTGTGCACAAAACACAGCGCGGAAGAGAACGGCAGCGGGGCCCTGCGTGTCCCAGGGCTCAGGTTTTGTGCTACTTCAGCTCCACAGAGACGTGGGTAAAGTGAAGAAATCAAACTGTTTAATAGGGGAAGGCAAAGCGAAGGGGTGAGCTGGGAGGGAAAAAAGGGGATGGGCAGGGCCCAAGGGCTGGAGGGAGGGAGCTGCCAACAGGGAGAGAGATGCAGGAGGTCCTGGAGCTTCCAACAGGTTCAGCTAGGACCAGCATCAGCTGGAGCTGGAGCTGGAGCTGGTCCCCTCTGCTCTGCAGGTGGTCCCATCTTCAGTGGGATCTGGAGGTCGCTGAGGGACACCGGTTCTACTGATCCAGCAGACGAAGTTGAGCAGATCTTCTGTCAAAGGTCTGCTAGATAAAGTTATTATAAACAGGCAAAAAGGAAAATGAGGCTGGTGACTTTTAAAAATGGTGAGCCTGTTTATTAAAGACCTAGAGCAACTGGGGATGAGAGCTCAGGATAAGTCAGAGTGACAGTAACTGTGTGCTACACAGGGTGCTTCTTTGGACACAAGTTCTGCAGAAGTGCCCAGGTGCTGGGCGCCTGGGGGGTTTTAAGGTCTCTTAAAGCTGCTGGACTGGTGTGCTTTCAGTCCTCTCCCTGATTAGTCTTTCTGCTGTGTGCTGGTGAGGTATTGTGATACATTCCTGAGCAATGATTCTGGAATTCTCTGATCTTGCTGGCTCGTTCTCCAGTCACAGTCCAAAGTGCTGTCATCACTCCACGAGGTAAACTTCTAGCAGGTTCCTCCTGTTGGTTTATTAAATTCTCACCATCCCCCTCTAGTGGTTACCTACAATCATGTAACTACATTGAATTTAAGAATTTATTGCGTCATGACTTATTAAATTAATTATGTATAACAACTCATTGTACTAATTAACACTGTATAACAGCTCATCATATCAATTAACAATTCATAACCCCACCTATGAAAGTCAACTTTTTATTGCCAAACTCTTCTGTCGTGTCACTGTTTTGTGATGCTTCTTTGAAACACTATTATGCTCACACACTGCAACTATGTAGGAATGATTTGGTTAAAGGAAAATAACTTTCTGAAGCTTCTTTAGCCTTAAAGATGTTCTGATTTCTAGTTCATCTGAAGAAATATGTTGACTCAATAACATTTTTCAACCTTTTCCTCCTGAATACATTAAAATTTATTTTAAAAATTACATATACATATTTTGCTGAATAAGTTTTTGTATTATATTGACTTAGTTTCAGTATAATATTGGGAATTCTAATAATTTGAATTCCAAGTTATATGAAACCATCAGTGAAATTTGGTAATATGAAGAAATTATAAGGCACTGATGTTTATTTTTCTTCTGCTACTGAAGCAATTTACTGAGTATGCAAAGAGCACCAAACTATTGAGTTATCACTTGGTATTTTTAATGGCAAGAAAGTGCACAAATGAAGAACTTACTCTGGAATGGTTTCTTTGCACCAAGGAACTCTACAAATCTCAATGGCCTTGAGGACCATAAGAATTCAGCACAAGACCAGCATCACAAACACAACATTTTTACTCCTGGCTATTCCTCCTCTCCAACAGAACTGGAAGATAAGGTATAACACCATAACAACATATTTCCATAATGTGATTGTCAAAACCCAGGTATTTTCAGAGGGCTCACAGGTTTCAGTCTTCCTCCTGGTAGAGTCTGATCCTTGAGCTCCCAGTTGTTATTGGAGAACTTCTATCCTGAGTTCTTTGCTGCACTTGTTTACAAACAAATCACAAACTTAATCTTTTGTTTTAACACACATTTAAACACATTTTAAACAGTTAAGCTTTCTTAATTTTTACAGAAAATGGGCTGCCTCAGTCTAATTTCTTTAGTCTGTTTGTGGAATTATTTGCAATTCTAATTCTAGCATTGCTTGCAGCTTGGGGAAGGTGTGCATTGATAAACTGTTTTGATCCCTGTGTGAAACAGAAGTTAATCCTCTGGAGGGTAATGGAGTGAGAATTTTTCCTAAAAATCTTATAAATGGACATATAAAATTTAATCTTTACATAGTATAACCCCCTGAGCAGTTCTCTGTTGAAATATTAACTTCTTTACAACATGAAAGAGATTATACCCGTGTCCTTACTCTTCCTGATTTTGTGAGGTTCCTGCCAGCACCTGTAAAGTCAGTCAGAGTGGGTACATGGAATGGTGTTCCTATTCTGTGTACAGGCTCTTAGTGGAGCTGGGCCTTCATGAAAGGAGCCCTTTGAGGAATTTAATCATGTTTAATTTGGCTTAATAAACTTCTACAAAAGTTTTTTGCAGCAGTACCCTTATGGAGATATCTTGGTGACTTCTTTGCTCATTTTGACTCCAAGGCAAATGAACTTCAATGACTTTACTGAGCAAACAAATTCTGCAATTTTTTCAAAGCATAAGTCTTACCACTTTGACTTCACATTGTGTTATGAGTTGAAAGAGTGCACAGAAACAGTGTGCAAGTGATATCACCTCCTGAGATGTTTAACAAATTGCATGGTCAGCAGCTCTAAGATCCCACTTTGTGCATAATTAACATCAGTAGAGGTTAATTACAGCTACCCATACAGCAATCAAGCAGAGGGTAAAACTATCTGAGCAGTTTAATTATTAAAAAAATTATGTTCTATAGTCAGTGTGATAATCTCCGTGCAATAGAGTTTATACCTTTTTAGGAACACATTCTGAAATTTGACCTATATTGCAAGATTTATGTGCAGGGAATTTTATAAAATTGGATGTAAAGGCTGTTGTAAAATCAGGTAGATAGGCTGCAAATATTCATAACCACTAATAGGAACACAAGCAGCTGCACAAATAATGCAAGGAAGAACAGGTCAATGATGAACCTTTATAATCTGAAAAGAAAATTTATCTAAATTTGGTTGTGATGATGCAGGGGTTTTCACTTCACAGTTACTGATCTCCAAAGTGCAGTTGCAGTGCTTTATCTGTTAACCCCCTTCACCCCACATTCTTCAGCCCAAGCTAGAAGACTTTCACTATCTTATTGTTTTTTTCCTGTCACAAAACTTGGCTCTAAACTTTCCAATGAATGGAAAAAAATAGATAGTGCTGTGTTCCTTTTTAAATGCTTTTGAAACCCTTTATACATGGAGCAGGTAAATGTTGCTCTGGTAAGCTATTAGAGTATCTTCAAAATGAATTTAATGATCTCTCTTCACAGAGAATGAAAAAAAAAACAAGTATGAGAAAAAGGAGAGGAAGGAATCTGTCTTGCTTACCAGCCTTGAAAGCTGGTAAGACTAGATTGGCTTCTTAGTGCATATAATTTTTAAATGGTTTTAATTGTCACCTGAAATTTCCAGTCAGTCTGTAAAATTACCTGGTTCATCTAAAAGCAGGCATGCAAGGTGCTCCCAGGGATTTATCACCAAATGAAGTAATTCTGTATTGCTATTGAAAGACTTCTTACACTAAAGAGGTGAAATTATTACAACCCCTCCAATTTGCCGTTGTACCTGTCTTGTCACTAACCTCAAACCCTGCATTTTGAGAATGTTACTGGATACAGAAAAAATGAGCTTGAAATTCTCTGAGAAAAAGGAGATAACCTTTCAGATGTGCTCAGTCAGAGAACCAACTCTAACATTTGGATGTATCTTGTGAATTTTGGCTTCTGAAGTAATTGAACCAGAGAACAAAAAACTTCAGAAATAGCTTTGCAAAATACTGGAATACTGGAAATTCTCTGCAGCATACTGATGGAAACACAAAATATGAATATTCAATCCATGTTTACATAGGTTTAATTAAACAGAACATAAATTACACATTTAACAGCAGCATATGATGGCTCCATGGCTGCTGGAGGGTGTGTGCAGTGCCCTTGTATTGACCACATGTGGTAAAACTTGGCAGAAATGGCCACACTGGGGAAGGCTGTTAAAGAAGTGACTCACAGAATTCCTAAGGAAATACTATTTATTGATTTGTCTCTGTCCAATAGATTACTTCTTTGAAGACATGAAATTTTTTCTCAGAATTCAGAATTTACTTTCCTGACAGTGGGATTTACTACAAAATAATCAGCATGCTTCTGCTTTTTTTTGTGTTTTAAAAGTGATGGTTAATGGCATACTTAGGTAATACTGCCTCCCTCATCTGGCCTGATTTCTAAACTTTGTGAGCATATTTATAAAAAAAAAGAATTTAGCTTTTTTCTTCCCCTTATAAAGGCCAGTAGCTGCCTTGAATATGTGTAAGCAGGTTAGATGTAGGTATTGCCAGGAGAGCCAGTGAATGCTGCTGGCTCCAGCTTTATGGGTGCTTGTTGCTCATGGAAAAAGGTCTGCATTTATCCTTCCATACATAGAATTAAAAGACATTTCACAGGAAGAATGAGTTAGGCTGACATCCAGATCACAGGGAAGTCAGCTTATGGTAGAAGAACCTAAACTTGTGTGATGCAGAGATCTTCCTGTTGGTTGAATAAAACATAACTTTGCACAGGGAAATAATTGGTATGTATGCTACCAAAATCATAAAAAAACCAAAAACAAAACAAAAACAAGAAACAAAAAAAACTAAAGCTAATCTAAATTACTGAAATGAAATATTTTTGTTCAAGTCTCAGAGATAAAGTATTTTTATTCTGCAGGATAGGTGGGAGAATGTTTAACAATTATCATTGAAAGGAAGCACAGACTATTTTTTTCCTCCATAAGAGCAAAAAATGGAACAGTAGAACATTATGGAATCTCATTTTTTCCATGATGGGAAACAAAATGGGGTTTTGTTCTCCAACCAACATCTTTTATTTTTCCTGCATTCTTCTAATCCATTGGAGCTTGCTTGCGCAAAAGAGCAGATTTATTGTACAGAATTTGGAATTTAAGATGTAATTAACTGACAAAATTACCACACTGCATAGGGCACAGAAGCAACTTACAAAACTGTTAAAATTGCTAAGAAAATTCCTAGCATAAACAAAGCATACTTGTAAGTTCCTTTTTGTGCCATCAAGATAATGGAGGGATGTGATTTACAATGTATCATTCATTATTTTGGTTTCTATATTTTACTTATTATTTGTATCTGTTACATTCAAATAACAGGTCTGCTTCCCTGTCTTACTGCTTGTTATGTTCTTTCCTTAGAAAATACTAAAAAACCTTATTTCAAAGGATAACTTTCCACTGTGAGTAATGTTTCTTGCTGCCACTTTCCAATTTAATTATCACTCGCTAATAAAAAAAGTAAACCAGTAAAAAGTCAAACAGCAAAACAGTAAAAACCCACACTCCAGAGAAAGCTTTCACAGAAAAAGACTAGAGAAGTAAAAGAGCTCCATAACATTTGCTGGAACCTTTAATGTTGATTCTGGCTAAGTGGAAGGAATCTGGATAACAAGGTAAACTGAGGCAACCTGAAATCTTAAAGTAAATTAAGGAATCTGGGGTTAGAAGGCTACAAATAATTTCTAATAAAAATCAAGAAGGAACTGCAGCACTGATTATTTTTGCAAGGAAATGCAGAACTGTGTGTATTTTCAAAATAAAGAAAAAGTGTGTCAAATTGTCTTCAAACACACTTTAGCTGTGACTTTACACTGTCTTGCCTGAGGTTTTCCAGCGTGGAAAAGAACACATTGTGGGTTTAGGCTTGGATAGCTCCAGCCCTTTCACAATGGGTCTTAAAGGCACTGTTGGCTTAGATACCTGCTTGGCTTAGGGCCCTAATGAGTTAATTAAGCAATTCATAGTGGCTGCACTTCAGAAAAGGACAAAAGCAGGTATTAAACCTTAGCTCATTTTTAGATGCTCTGAAGAAATTAAGGTCAAATGCAGTGGTTAAAATCTTCAGTGAAGAGCCACGGGGAATGCAAGGTCAATGAGTTCCCTGGATGTGCTCACGTTTCCTTGAGGGTCACCCCAGGGCCTGGAGAGGCAGCTCCTGCCAAGGCCCTGCAGCTCCAGCTGGGGACGAGCTGGCAGGACAGCCCAAAACCATTTGCTCAGGTAAATAACGGTGCCCAGGGAAGCCAGCATTTAGATGGGAAGAGGCAGAGCATGGAGCATGACACTCCCCAGAGCACTGGGGGCACGTTCACCAGGGCAGATTTATAATGAGACAGATGGACACGTGATACACAGGACATGGCATGGATTCATGCTCAACTCTCATCAATTCATAGCTTACCTAATTTTTGGGTAAGCAAATAGCCATCGCTTAATTTTAGCATCTCTAGCGACTGATATTTATTTATTTCCCTCTTCCACCTCCCCATCCATGCCCCTTTTACTGTTTTCTAGTATGTATTTTTTATAATACTGTATTTTAAGAAAGTAGTTCTCTCTTACCAAACACACACACAGAAGGCAAACCCTATGGGCAAAGTGGTAATAAAATTAAAATGAATCTAAATAGAACTTAATTCTCTGAAATCAGTTTTGCTCCACTGCATTTAGCAGTCTGAAATAAAAGAAACCATGGTTTATAATTAAAAAGGAGATCTAATGGAAATTGAAAAACAACCTCAATTTCCACCAAAAGGGAGGAAAACCAGTTTCAGATATGAAAATTTGTCTTTCATTTGTATCATTAAATAGA